GCACTAGATGAGTTTTCGCGATGAATCTTTCCGCTACAACAGAATCCCTCCAATTCTCAAGAATGGTTTGATGCAACGCTATTTGCTGGAAATTATTCCTAATTAGCGACGTGAAATAAACGAGAAATATGCTGATTGTAAAAAGGGAAGAAGAACTGATCGCAAATAACGCAAACGAACAATTATTTCCAATTTTAGGAATGAAATTCAAATGAGTCTGTGGTAGATGGTCACTTGACAGTTGTGATATTGGAAAGGAACAAAAGGGTAAAACTATAAACTGATTTTTGGAAGCTGATAGTGAACGATGAACTACCTTGCTGGCAAATACATTTGTAATTTCCAGGTAGATTCTCACAAGTTCCATGCACACAAACATCATCCAAACATTCATTGATATCCTCCTCACACTGCACTCCTCTATATCCTGTACCATTACAGTCACAATCAAATCCATTCACTCGATCCGTACAAACACCATTATTCAAGCAACTATCACTCGAACAATCATCTATATCCACTGAGCAAGTCTCACCTGAAAGGTATATCATTCTTGAAATTTAACATCATTCATACAGGATATCTGGAGGATATATGTGGCACTGGGGTCAGATCATGCTAATAGTCTCATGTACTAACATTGTCAGATTGAAAATGTTTTCTCGTATGCATGCAAAATCTTATTGAAATGAAAGTTAAAAAAGTTCAAAATAAGCGTGCATCATGCAGAAGGAGGAAAATCAGCGAGATATTTCCTGAACGTTCTGGAGACACACGACTTATTCATCTACAATATGCGATTTCCTTTGCCACTAAAAATCCGTGTTATGGTGCAGAATTAAGGAATCTAAAATCTCGCTCCTCAGTGGCCTCGTATGGTTTCACATCTCTGACTGACGACACACAGAGAACAGAACAAACATTGAACACAAAAGCATTCTAAACCTGTAAAGCCAGCTATACAGTTGCATTTGAATCCTCCGATGAAGCGTTCGCACGTCGCACCATTGTGACACGGACTCGAACTGCAATAATCAATCTCTTGCTCACAGAATTCACCGGTGTAACCTCGATAACATGAACACGAATGTTGAGTTTCCGTTTGCTGGATACACTCCCCTCTATTGCCGCACGGCTCACTCACACAAGAACCTAATATCTCGCAACGATCACCTGAAAAACCAACCAGTGAATATGGCTCATCACGAAATGATTCTGAAGATGGCACAACAACTTATTGAAACTGATCGTTACCAAGATAGTATTTGGGACATTCACAGCTGAACGATCCTTCTGTATTCGTGCAGTTTGCACCATTTTCACAAGCGAAGCGATCGCACTCATCAACGTCAACATCACACAACGCTCCTCTCCATCCTGACTCGCAATCACACACAAAGCCATTCCATACGCCTCGACACACTCCATGTGCACACGGCGATTTTTCACAATGATTCTCTAGCCTTTCACATGTCTTCCCTGCAATAACCGATTTGCAAGGCTTATTATGGTATTTGATTCATGTAGTTAACCACTCTTCGTGTAATCACTTCACATCACAACGAAAATGTACATGTTTTCCCTTCATTATCAATGAACAATGCGCACTTTACCTTTAAATATCGTTAAAATTATTTCCTTCTCAGATATCCCTATACATTCGACCAATATCCCATCACGGAACAATAATATAATGAGATGATTAATTACTTACCCGTGTATCCTAAAGAGCACAGACAACTGAACCCATCATTTGTTGGAGAGCATAGACCACCGTTTCTGCAAGGCTTGCTATCGCAATTACCGTTCGGAATATCGCACAATGCACCTTCAAATCCATCCGCACAATCGCACGAAAATGAATCCTTAAATCAAGTACTCTATCTCAGATGAACGTAAATGATGATTAATTACAAAGCAAAAGTGAAGTAAACAATGATAATTATGATGATCAAGAGAACTGAGTGGATACTGACATTATGAATATTAATCAGTTGACATTACAAACATTATACATACTAATCTTACTTCAATCAATACTTGTTTAGAATTCAACTTGACTGAATGCAATGATACACGACATTCAAAATAAAGACTCGCCTTTTGCTGATCACAGGTAGATCCATTTTCACAAGGTGAGTTCTCACATGTCGCTGTCACCTTCAAACAAACTTGACATATATCCCGAAAATTTGGAGAGCAATTTTGAAAACTGTATTTTTTCAATGGTTTGAAGTGTGATTAAATGACTTACAAAAATCTCGGTGTAAATTTTGTATCAAGATGGACTCAGTACAGTCATTACGGCAGGATGAGCAAGAATTCGCTTGCTGTCATATGGACAACTTTATAAATTTTAAGAAAATTTTGATAACAATCAAAAAT